TCTTTATCAGACATTTCCACCAGTTCCATTGTACTATCTGAAGATGAAGAGAAGTTATTCTTTTCTCTTGGTAGGGAGCAGGTAATTTCTTGGTTTCTCATATTTCTTGTGTCTCTGTGGTGATTTCTAGTCATCTGATGGGTTATATGTTTTTTCATAATTTCTAGAAGTTCCATCCGAGCATTCAGGGGCATGCAGGAGGGAGATGATCTGCAATCTCTTTGCCGTTCTGTTTCTATCATTTGTGCAGCAGATTCAGTAGGTACTGAGGACTATGTTGATCCTAATCATATTCGAATGTTTGGCTACAGTTCCCTTAGATCTGTCTAGAAACTCAGTGAATGGAGCTTGAGCAGTAAAGTGATGAGATAAAAGATAAAGGAAAAGAAAATAGAGAAAGAGAGAGAGAAAGAGAAGACAAAGAAAAAACAACCAAAATAATTCTTTTTTCAAGCAAAATATGCAAACCATGAGGCACATGCATGCACCATGCAAAAGCACTAGTTTTCAGCTGCAATGGCGGAATCTTCTTCTGAAGGCCTGCCCCTGGCCTCTCCTAAATGGTAGGGAGGAAAGGGGATTATTAGCAAGATAAAGGAGGATCTGAAAGCCAAGAAAATACTTTACCTTAAAAAAATTAAAAAAAAGAAATATTACAAAAAAATAATGAAGAGACAGAGAGAAGGAGCACCCTACCACTTGAGACTGGGGACTGGAAGCTGAATTTTCAGTAGAAAAATCTTCATTTCTTATTCCCTGAAAGCACTAGCTCTCAGGTGCAATGGAGGAGTCTTCTTCTGAAGGCTTGCCCCTTGCCTCTCTTAAATGGACCTGGCATTTTTTTTAAGTCACTGGTTTTGGGACTCGAACTGTGTAGTTGGACAAGTGGAATCCAGCCACCTTAACCACCAGGCCACAGGATGGTATCTTCTATTTATATAAATCATCCAGTTCAGGTATTTTATTTGTTAGCAACACAATGAACTAAAACAACATACACCCTGGCAACCCATTATTTCGGGACCTGCTCCCTGCTTGGGAGCTCTGCTCTTCCTTCTAGTGGTTAATAAATTCTGCTTCCTATCGCCTCTTCATGTCTGCATCTCTAATTCTTCATGAGCATGAGACAAGAGCCTGTGTCCTATTGTGGGTGCTAGGTCTGATCACTCCTTCACCCCTGTTTTCCTGCATCATATTTTGGTGCATGGGCTGCAAATCCACCTCTACTCCTCTTCTTCACATCAAAAAGAGTTATTTCTGAGGGCTGGCAGGTGGTGTGGTGGTTGGGGCACTGGGCTCCCACATGGCCGACTGTGGTTTGAGTCTCAGACCTGGTGGCTTGCTTTCTTAATTTCCTTATCTCTCTCTGGTCAACTTAAAAATAATAATAATAAAAAAATAAAATAATTCTTAAAAAAATACCTTTCAGGGCCGGCAGGTGGCATGATGGTTAAGGGTGTTTGACTCCCACAAGGCCAATAGCAGTTTGAGTCCTGGACCTTGCAGCTTGCTTTCTCACTTTCTCTCTCTCTGGTCAAAATTTAAAAAATAATAACAACAAATAAATAATTCTTTTTTAAAAAAGAGTTATTTCTGTCAACAATAATGGCAACCACAAAGGGACTAGAGAGGAACCAGAGATCTTCCAAGGAGCCATTCAGACTGGTGCCTGGTACCAGCACAGTGGGCAACTTGCTCCCCCTCCAGCTCCAAACTTCTCCTCAGGGGAGATTTGATTAGTCAATATAATTTTGGAAATTCAACTAGAAATGGAATCTAGCATCCTATGCAGGGATTTAAATTGATGGAGACAAAAAGAAAACAAGTACAAACTCAATATACAAGGAAACTGCTAATGAAGAATTGCAATTTAAAATAAAAGCAATATTATTTAAAATGCCAAAATAAAGAAGGAAGGAAGGGAGGGAGGAAAGAGAAATGGGAGGGGAAGAGATGGGGGAGAGACAGAGAATGAAGAAAAAAAGCAATCCTTGAGCATAAATCCAACAAAATATGAATAAATCTGTGTAAACAAGACTATAAACAATCGTTAAATTAAAGAAAAAAAACACAAAACTCTTGCATTTAAAACTGTTAATTTTCTAGCATCATTTGCCCTCTCTCACCAACTCTTGTAAAATGCCTTTAAAGTTGGTGTGTGCTTTCTAAACTACATATTAAAATCACAGCCCTTAGTTCTCTTTTCGTATGTTCTGATAATACCTGCTCACTAATTTGGGATGTGGATAAGTTGATAACAAGGTGTTTTGGTTTGAGAAAGTAAATAGCTTAAGCAGTGCGAGGAATGTTTGCTAAAAGTGGCCCAGAGAGAAAAGTGCCTAGTTAGAGTTCCATCCACGGCACACCTGTCTGAAATCATTGTTGAAGGATACATCTTAAAGAATTCCCTGACTCGCTGGCACTGAAACAAAACTACCCAAAGCTACCACAAACTGCCTATTGTTCATTGTAATCTCACTCCTGCCTGTAGCTATATTACTGGAAAGTGTGATGTATGAAACACGGAAAGTGAATCATAAGCTTGTGCTAGTCTTATGACTCAATGTGGGTTAAGAAAGATCAAACTTTAGTAACCCTCTCCTTCTTCCCCATTTTCTTTATAAATCCAAGGCAACAACTGTGAGGACTGTAAGGAATAGGCCCACCACGCGAGAAAATAGAAATGTAGAGACTTTATTGGGAGCACTCTTGGGCGAGGTTCGCTGGTTTGACAGAGAAAGAGAGAGGGGGAGACGGGCCAGAGAAGTCGCATGCTAGGGTGGGATTTAGCGATTTTTATTAGGGTATAGGGTGGGCGAGTGTCTTAGAGGTAGAAACAGTCCATGTATGGTAAAGGTTTAGGGGGAAAGCAAACTACTGTGCCACATAAGGTTGGTGACATGAGCAGAGTAGAGTCCCATGTGCAAAGTAGAGTGCCATGTGCAGAATAGAATGCATGTGCAGAGTAGAGCGCATGTGCTACATCCGGGTTAAATCTGAGTGCAGAAGGTCTGATGACTAGATCTGGGTTGCATCAGCTGACTGTGGCATGGTGTCCAACACCCACATTCAAACTGCCCAGGCCTCCAGCCTAACAAGGACAAAATTTATTTGACTATACAAAGCTAAGTACAGATATTTATTTTTTAAATGCACATTTTAATATTGTTACATTGCTACCTAAAAGAGCTATTAAAGACAAAAATAGCTGACAGTAGTTAAAGCAGTAAGGGCGGATTTTAGTCAGTAGTATAATAGGAAAGAGTCCAGTATGAACTAAACAGTCCCTGAAACAAAAGATTGGAGACTTTAAAAGACCAGGGTATGCTAAGGAAAAGGCACTGAAGGATTTTAAGTGGGACAGGATTTGATTAATGTGATTAGATCATCTGGATTTGTTAATTGGTACTTTCCCATAGGAGAAACAAACGTCTCTTATCTTTATAGTAGGAGGCAGTGGTGTAAGTTGAAGCAAGCTACCCACCTGTCAGAGCCTGGGAGGTACAGTGAGTTATCTCCTTGAATGCTTGAGTTTCAAAGAGATGACTCTCACTATTTTTTTTTTTAAATTAAGACTTTTGCCATAGGGCAAATGCATTCATAGGACAGACAGAAGGAAAGGAAAGAGCAATCAACTTTCAGCAGGGATGGCCACATTTCAATCCTTCTTCTTTCTCCTCTTGGGATTTTGGGTAACCACAGACTAACGTGATTTTGAAGCCACCAGGTCTGGGAATTGAACCAGAGTCAGCCATGTGGGATCCAGCTCCTTATCCATCAGCCACTTGCTAACCTCAAGGTTTTAGGAAATAGTGTAAGGTAGCAGATTTACATTTCAAGAACTAATTATTTATAATTGCAAGCTTTCTAATAGAGGGGATTCCAGGGCCTATCTGCCTATCACTAGGTTTTACCTAGAACAAACACTAAATTCTCCAAGCATTTTAGGGGAGTTTGGGGTTAGCCCAGGGATAAGGTCTTAGGCAGCTGGGAGCCATGCTAGAGGATGGTCAAGTTTCTAAGTGCAGAGGCTTGGACAGAGTAGTCATGTTGTCAGAAGTTCTGCAGCTTTGAGATGATAGTTATTAACATTTTATCAATCTGGATTTTCAGATGGTCCAAGTTGGCCCAATCCAGGTAGCCCAGTCCCTAGCCTACTGGACTGCAATGTCTAAAGCCACACTGGCAGAGCATGGGTTTGGACCCCTGGTTGCTTGAAAACACGCCTGGCACTTAGTTGTCCAAGAGTCTGAGGAACTGCAGAGCAGAGGAAAAGGGATCGTGGTTTGACAAGGCCCTGTTAAGGGTGCTTTCTCTCACATGCATCATATCCTTCAAAACGAAACGCAACAGGTCAAAGTTTGATGCTGTCTGTGCCTGAACCACACCACTGAGAGTGGTAACGACTTGCCACATTACTGAAAGATGAAAGCTGGATTTCATACTACTTTGGACAGCCTGGATTTCCAACTTCCAGTTCGGTGGTTTGGTTAATTTTTGCCTTTGCGGTTTATGACCCAGGATGTCTGCCTATTCCACAGCTTGTTTACTCTTCCAAGGTTTCCAAGAGCCACACCCGCAAGCCTTTTGAAATCTAGCAACCATGGCCAACTGCTTGGTAAAAAAGGAAGTGAAACGACTCAAGATAGGCGGACTGCAAGTCTCTTTGGCATCTCTTCCTGCAACCAGGGATTGTTCTAGACACGACGAGGACGCGCATGCTTCTGTAACCCCTTCCTGCCAGAAACAAACGAACAAACAAACAAACAAAAACATCAGGATAGCAAAGTTCTCTCAAATCTCTCTTCTTGCCCCCTTTCTCTTTTTCAGTTCCTTGTCTGTTTCACGCCCCATTTTGTCTTCGCCTACGGTCTCCCTCCAAGGACGCTTGGGCGGATTGCAAAGGGAGAGAAAAAAGGCGCTAAGAAGCCTGTGTGGCTTTGGCTTTGCGGCGTGGCCGTAAAGCGACGTCGCGCCCCTCTGACGTCACGCCCTGGGCGGCCGTTCGCCGGCAGCGGGTGCCGGAAAGCGTCGGGCTTGAGTGCTGGTGTGGGTACTTCTTATCGGAGGGCTCTGGGTCTGTGTGTGCCAGACAGGCGATCGACTCCCTTTCGGGACGCAAGGGCAGCGGGGCCTCGTGCCCGCTAGATGGCCGGGCCTGGGCCCGTGGGCGCAGAGGCCGAAGCCCGAGCGGAGAGCGACCTAGTTCCGCGAGGCCGCCGCGGGGGCGCCGATGGCTGGACGCTTCCTGGGCAAGGCTTTAGCTACGGTGTCACTCTCTGTGGCCTTGGCCTCCCTGACTGTTAGGTCCTCAGGCTGCCGCAGCATCCCTGCGTACAGGTATTCGCCTCGAAGTGCCGGCTTTTCCCGAGACCTTGGGTTGGGTGTGGGAACCAGCTTCCTTTCCGTAGGCTTTGCCTGAATTCGGTGTTTTTATAGCCAGATCATGAGTTTTCAGAAAGGTTCCAAAATGTTTCTCTGCTCTGAGGAAGACTAACGGCAAGGACATTTCTCGGCCTCTGATTTGGACATTTTCCATTCTCCATAATGTCACTGACCTCATCATCACCAGGGAGTCTTAACAGTTGTTTGACTGCAGTTTTTCTGCCTTTGGTTAATACGTAAAGCATCATCATTAAAATTATTTCACGCACAGAGTTAAATTTGAGCAGCATACATGATACCAAAAGAGAAGTCTCCATTTTCAGTTTTGCAGGGTAGATTATATTTATGACCTACCTCTTTTTTTGATTCACTGCTTTTGAATAAATTTAGAGATTTATGGGCTCTCTCACACTGTCTCCTACTTCTTTTCTCCAATTTTTATTTCTTGAGTCAGTAAATGTATAATTAGGATAAAATATAAGGTTTATATTTCATATATATACATATGTATATATGAATATAAAAGTGATTTTCAAGCCTGATGGTTGCCTGGGATGGGGAGGGATGAATTGGAGAGCATGGAGAATTTTTAAGAAATACACTGTTTTAGAGCAGTTTTAGGGTCACAGCAAAACTGAGCAGAAGGTACAGAGATTTTCCCGATACTACTTTTCTCTACACATGCATAGCCCCTGGTATTAACACGCAAAGAGCAGTACCTTCATTACATTTAATGAACCTACACTGACACATTATTTCACAGAGCTCTGTAGGTTACATTAGAGTTCACTCTTGGTGGGGCTACTCTGTGGGTTTGGACAAAGGTATAATGCCATTTAATCACCTTGTATTGAGTCTTCCTAAAAGTCATGACTCATTTTTGCATAGAAGAACAAAAAAACCAGTCATGACTTTTCTGACAGCCCGTTAGTATCATATATATACCATTCACTGCCACTAGGTAAGTGAAACATTTTGTATGATACTATAATGGTGGATTTACATTGTATTATATATTCTGAGTACATGGAGAAGGGCCAGAGGCAGTGTGGTAGGCAGTCTTTGTAGGTCAGGTTAAAATTTTTAATTTTATTTTAAAATAAGTGGTTTTTTTTTTTGGAGAGGTTGTTGCTATAGGGCGCGTGCGCTCGACAGACAGACAGACAGAAAGCGAGAGGTTTATTTCTGGAATCTCTATTTTGTTCCATTGGTCTACATATCTAGTTTTGTGCCAATACTAAGCTGTCTTGATTATCACAGCTTTATAATATATTTTGGGGCCAGGAAGTGAGATTTTTTTTTAAGTTGGTATTGGAAAGTAAGTTTTAAAATTTTTTTATTTATGTATTTATTTATTTATGGTCATTCATTGTACATCAATACAGTATACAAAATGAGATTTTCCATCCAGTATACATTGTATATTGGCTCAATCAAGGATATCACCATACATGTTATCATCAACAAATAATTTTCTATTTCTTGTTTCTTATATATTTTGCTTTTTTCCTGCCCTTGATTCCCTACCGCTCACCTTCTGCTAACTCCCCCCTCTTCTACACTGTCTCTGGTATGTACGGTTGTTTTCCATGCCTTTTTTCCCCACATTTTATTGATTCACTAAAGGCCTTAATTAAGGACTTAATAGCAAGCACAGCTGATATATACATATTTATGAACACATGTCTGACTGTAGGCAGAAACCTCAGTGAGTAAAGGGAACATAATATAAAGTGGTACCTTGCTGGGGCAATATAGCTTACTACAGTGATTAAATAGGCAATTAATAGCTCATTGCAGTCATTAAATAGATATTCATAGGTATTTTTTATGCATTTTTTTAAATGAAAAAAGTTTCAGTTTTAACAGATCAGAGTCAAAACATGTTCAGAGAAATTTGCTTAAAGCTTAAAGCTGGGAAAAAGGTTAGGATTTAGTTCTAATAGTAGATAGATGAACCTATCAGCAGTTGAAGAGAAGACAAAACCCTTTAAATATGGAAATCAAAGAATCAAAGAAAATCAGTAATGTTTTAGTCTAAAGTAGAAAATAAGTTTTTAAGAGGCCAATCTGTGGCACAGTGGGGAAGTATGTTCTTAGGTCTTTGCATTAGATTCTTTAATATTTATTTGATATTTATATAAAATGTTTTTCCTCTTCTCACTTCCTAGGAACTCATTGTCATCGTGTTGGTTTCATCTTAATTCCAACATCATGTTTGGCTCTAATGGTGCCAAAGGGAATTCCCACAACAAGGCTCGGACATCTCCTTACCCAGGTTCAAAAGTTGAACGTAGTCAGGTTCCTAATGAGAAAGTGGGCTGGCTGGTTGAGTGGCAAGACTATAACCCTGTGGAATACACTGCTGTCTCTGTCTTGGCTGGACCTAGGTGGGCTGATCCTCAGATCAGGTGAGCACAATAATCTGACATTAGTTGGATATGAATAGACTTTAGAGAAGGTAACGGTTGTATTTGTAAATGGTTGTATTATTTTGACACCTGCAAAGTGATTTATTTGCTTACTTTTTGCTAGAGAGTACGTGTGCTTGCCAGAGAGAGGAGAGGAGGAGAAAGCAACCCCCCATAGGGAATGGTCACACCATAATCTCTTCATTTCTCCCTCCTTTTGGGATTTTGGGCACACATGCACATGTGTCCAGAGGGTTTCTCCACCTGCTGGAATTGAGACTCAAATCACATTGTTGGCCACCTGGAATCTGGCCACAGAGCTGATCCTGAAAAATAATATTTTTATCTATGCACGGTTTTGTTTCCATATTTGCTTGAATTCTTTTTTTTTTTTTTTTTTTTTTTTTTTTTAATTTGTTTTTATTTATTAACATTAATATGCTATACATCATTACAGTATACAAAATGAAGTTTTCATCCAAAATACATTGTCTGTTGGCTCAATCAAGTACATCAACATATGTGTTATCAACAAACAATTTTCCATTTTTTTTTTTTTCCATCCAGAGTACACTGTATATTGTCTCAATCAAGCATATCAACAAACATGTTATTATTAGCAAGTGATCTTCCATTTCTTGTTTTCTGTATGTTTTGCTTTTTTCCCCCTATCCTTGGTTCCCTCTCTCTTACCCTCTGCCACCTCCTGTTCTCCTCCCACACTTTCTCTGTTATCTATGTTTGCTTTCTATACCATTTTCCCCCCACATTTTATTGAATCACCAAAGACCCTCATCAATCCAAATACCCTCCTAGCAAACACATGTGACACATTTCCATGAGCACAAGTCTAACTTTACGCATCCTATCAAGTAGCACCTAACTGGGGCTACATATCCTACTGCAGTCATTGAATAGATATATTTTGTTTTCCTGAAACTCTTTTTTGTAACTCAATTTACATTCCTTCTCTAGGCATCATCACAGCACACAAAATGCGATCTCCCATCCAGTACACACTGCATAGTGACTCAATCATGCACATTACAAAAAATATAAATTTCCACTTCTAGTTGCTAGAATTAATTCCACCCCTCTTTCTGACCCTCTGTCCCTTCCCACCCTCCTCTCACACCACCTCTAGTGTCCAAAATTGTCCTCCATTCCCTTCCCACCCACATTGCATTGATCACACAATTTCCTACATAACCTGACTACTTTCAAAGGTGAGTTCCCTCGTTACTACTAAGAAAACCAGTTTTAACTTAAATCAAAGAACCGCCAAGGAACTTTGCTTAAAGCCCGGAAACAGGTTAGGATTCTGTTCAAATGGTAGGTGCATGAACCTATCAGTCTCATATACTTTTATCTTCTGTTCTGGTTCAATTTTCCTGATTAAATTCTGGGATATAGTATTCAACTCCAGACTTGTCCCTATGATTAAGTTAGCTACTTTCTCAGTTTTTGGACTCTTATTTCCATGTATCTGCGTTTAGTTTTCCTGATACAGCACATCCTTGAGAACTTCTTGGAGGTCTGGTCTGGTGCTGGTAAATTCTTTCAGGTTTTGTTTATCTGAGAATGTTCTTGTCTTTTCTTCCCACCTGAAAGATAATCTTGCCGGATACAGTATTCTTGGCTGAAACTGCTTCTCTCTTAACACTTGGAATATATTTTCCCATTCTCTCCTCGCTTTTATTGTTTCTGATGAGAGATCTGCTGTTAGCCTGATGGGATGTCCTTTGTAGGTAACTTGATGTTTTTCTCTTGCTAATCTTAGTATCTTGTCTTTGTCTGCAGTTTTGGTCAACCTGGCTATAATGTGTCTTGGAGAAGATCTTCTAGGGTTGATTCTATTTGGGGTCCGTTGTATTTCCTGGGACTGGATCTTTGAATGCCTCTCTAGGTTTGGAAAGTTTTCTTGCAGGATTTCCTGGAATAGATTATCAATGCCCTTATGGGTTTCCTCACCTTCTGGAATGCCAATTATCCGGATATTTGGACGTTTGATGGTATCCAGTACTTCTCGCATATTATTCTCAAATTTTTGTGCCATTTTCTCAGCCTTCATGGTGGATTTTTCTAGGCCAGCCATTTTCTCCTCTACATCTGAGATTCTATTTTCTGAATGATCTAGTCTGCTTTTAATGCTTTCCAGGGAGATTTTGACTTCTTGTATTATAGACTTCATCTCTAGCAGTTCGGTTTGAGTCTTTTGTAAAGTGTGTAATTCCACTTTTAGATCTTGCAGGAATTTCCTCATCTCTTGGAACTCGTCAATCTCTTTCTCCTTTCTCTTTAGTAGTTCATTATCTCTCTTCTCTTCCATCTCTGTTAGCTTAGACATTATGAATGATCTGAATTCCTTATCAGACATTTCCATGATTTTCACCGAACTGCTTGTGGATGAAGAGTTACTCTTTTCCCTAGGAGGAGAGGTATTTTCTTGTTTTCCCATGTTTCTCGTGATCCGGCGGTGATTTCTTGTCATCTGATGAATGTTGTGTTTTCTTTCAAATTCTGGAGGTTCAGCCTTAATGTTAAGGAGCAAGCAGACAGAGGTGATCCAGAATCTCTTTGCTGTTCTATTGTGCTTGCTGGTGCAGCAGATTCAGAAGATAGTGGGGAATATTTCAACCCTATTAGTATTTGAATGTTTAGCTACAGTGATCTTAGATCTGTCTAAAAACACACTGAAAGGATATTGGAGAGTGAAGAGACAAGAAAAAAGAAAACGAGACAGAGAAAAACAACAAAAAAAGAAAAAAAAATCAAAAA